GCTTTATACCTTTGTCTGCCAAATGTGAGCAAGCCCAAAATGCCCACAGAATCCACTTCTGCCTTCGCATTCATAATCCCCGTCTCAAGGTGTCAGGGAAAATCTGTGCACGGGTATAGGACTTAGACAACCTTGTCTTTAAAGCACATTTTGCCCACCCCCTCCCAAATGACTGCCAGCCCCTTCAGGCATCTCCAGTCTCTCGAGCCTTCCACTCTAGCTCGACTTCAAAGAGTGTGTTCGAGCAGCTTACTTGAGAGTCGACTGGAAATCTCTGCGGAGAGGGTTGTCATGCCGCTGGCCCGTCCAGGGGAGATGGGTGTTGCTGGGTGTACGGAAGGTGAGGCGATTGATCCCAGGTACTGGTAGGACTGGTCATAGGACCACGGTGGGGACGGCTGGATCTGCCTTGTGTCTGCAGAGGATTGGAGAGGTCAGTCATATGTCAGGTGGGGTGGGATTGAAGAAAAGAAACCTTTTAATAAAAAGCTAGTCACCTTTGTTTGTCATACGTCCTGTGGCCTGTTGACCGGTTTGTAGTAAGTCCAAGTATTTGCTTTTGTTCGAGAATCTCCCCCCTCCTCCCAAAGTTACTGAATTATTGTTTGTGTGAAATATAGTTTATTCTCGAAGATTTCCCCTGGATGACTGTTCCTTCTAAAGGTTTCACTTGATCATGCTCATAACGACGGGAGAGGTTGAAGATGCTTTCGGGAGAGGTTGAAGATGCTTTCCAGGTAGGTGTTCCCACCCACCTGTTGAACTACCACATGTACTGGCCGCCCAGCTTTACCGCGAGTTACAATTCTCATCCTCCAAAACATTTTATCAACTCAGGTGATCACCTATCCATGTGTAGTCAGTAAGCAAAAAAGAACATAGAGCTTTGATTTTTTGTTTTTTTTTTTTTTTTTTTTTTTTTTTGGACCTTTGGCAAAAATACTCCAAGGGCTTTTAAATGTCCTCCGTTTACGTGAATTCTCTCCCAAGGATGACAGAAAAGAGGGTCTGGCTGGGAAGCTGGTGATGGGGCCTGAGGACTGGTTCACAAGCCCAGCAGTAGTGATCTAGCCCTACCAACCCAGACCAACAGGTACCAACCCAGACCAACAGCTGTCCTGCACGTTTTCAAGACCTCCAGTTTGCCGTGTTTAAAGGGCAGAATGTTGAGCAAGTATTTTATAGATGGCCAATAAATGAGGCTTGGGATAGAGAAGAGACAAAACTCTGACTTCAGAAGATTTAGGTAAAAAGGACTTTGTAAATTTGACTCCAGCATTCACAGGAGTCTTAGTTTCAAAAGCATCACACTGTTTGCAGATGAAATGGAGGGGAAAAAAAAGGAACAAACCCTCTATTCTTAGGCAACACGTGTAAGCAAATTTAAATGGAATGTTGGCCCGCCAGAGATAGCTTTCCATTTTTTTTTTTTTAGGGCTAAACATCGATTTTCTCTTTGCGTCCCACCTTCTCTGTGGACCACACCAGTCCCCAGGGTCCTCATAGCCCGGGCTGCATGAAGCCGGGAGTCAATCTAGAAAGAGCAGTGTTCCTCAGGAAAATACCAGTCACAAGCTGTGTATGTGCCAGGACATAAAGAAGTGAGTTATTCCTACTCGTTATAAAACGTCCAGTTCTACTTCCAACGGGGAATTTGCATTTCCAACAGTTTAAGTTTGCTGTTTTTGTTGATCTGTTGGAAGCCGTCAAAGCAGGGGTTTGGAGACCCAGGTCTCCTCCCCCACCTTCCTGCCCGCCCCTTCCCCTTTCCCTCACGTGGATCCATTTCTTTCTTTCCTGTAAAATAGCTCAATTTTGGGGGCACCCGGGTGACTCAGTCGGTTGAGCGTTCCAGCTCTTGATTTCAGCTCAGGCCATGATCCCCAGGTTGTGGGTTCGAGCCCCGCTTTGGGCTCCGTGCTGAGCACGGAGTCTGTTTGGGATTCTCTCTCTCCCTCCCTCTGCCCCTCTCCCCCGCTCGCGTGCATGCGCACACTCTCTCTCTCTCTCTCCAAAAAATAATAAAATAACTCAATTCTTTAAGTTTGAAAACTCTGGGGAAATATTTTAACTTAGAATCTCTGAAATCTAATATTAAAGAAGGGCCCTCATGTCATCCTGAATTTGGGGGAATTTGAGCAGAGGGCAAGGAGTAAGAGAACTGGTCCATTCTAAACTCAGTGGAAATGAATGTTCAACTACAGCCAAAGATCCTGCAATCTTACAGACAACAGTGTTTCCAATAATTGTAAGCAAACAGCAACAGCAGGATGTTCTGTATCCCCCTGTTACTGCAAGCGTTTTCTTCCAAGTGAAGAAGAAAGTGTAGACTCAGATATCTTTGTAAGGCATGCATATGTCTTAGATCTACACATTTGCTGCGGGAATATATAGTACTCAAATATTTTAATCATTTAAGAAACAAACAAAAGAGGTTTTATAATTGTCATAAAGCCCTCCGGGGTGTGAATTGCGGTTCAGTAATTCATGCCTTGCTGTGTAGACAGCCCAGCTTCCCCTAACCCCGTGTCTAAAACCACAGTAAGCATAAAGTATTAGGCCATGATTCATGCTCTGTCATGTTTTACTGTAGTGAAAAAGTTGTGCTAGGCTTTTCTAAACTCATAATTAAACCGTGCAAACGTTGCATAATGTTTCACAGCCTTTTAAAAATATGCTTTGGTAAAATGATCTTTATGATTAAAGTCCAAGTTCTCTGATTGTTTTTTTTTTTTTTTAACCCAGGGTTTTATATTCAACATTCTTACTCCACACACAACGTAGCTTTCCAGTGTGGAGGAGGGATAACACTAAAAACCCAAAGGACCCCCGTCCGATCACTTTCCATTCACATGACCGTAGTGAATTGGGTTTGGGTTCATTGCCAGCGATGGGCCAGAAGGTGGTGATGGCGAGCTGCTCGTGCCAGGTTTTTGGGTGTTTTCTAATTCTACAGGTATTATTCATAAAAATCCAAAAGCAAAAAATAGAACAGAACACTAGGGCCAACGATATGGTATTTGCTGAGTTTACCGCTCAGTTACCAGTCTTGCTCTGACGGGGCCGACGCGAACACAAGAAAGCAGAGAAATGGCAGTGTGGTGGGCCAGCACTGGAAGACAGGATATGATCTCCAAGCCCCTTCCAACAGTAACAGCGCAGGATTCTAATTCAAACAGGTCCTACACAGTGTTTCTCTGCTTCACTTGTATGCTAATCAGACTTAGGAAGGAATCAGGTGGAAGCGTGGGGTGAAGAATGGTGCTCTTAATAATAAAGGCAGCCATTCTGGGACGAGGAAGTAGGCCGGGAGAAGACGGAAGTGATCCAGAAAAGACCACAGGCCGAGGAAGAGAACCACTGTCAGTCATTCGCCAGAAAGTAGGGCGACTTGTTCTTGAAGGGAGGGCCTCCGATAAGTCACGCCATCAAGAAGGACAGAAGTTTTGTTTCGTTTTGAAATTTTAGCGTGTGCCCCGCATGTGCTAACTTAGCTAGTAGTAGCCTGATGAATAAGACCAAGGTGGCCCCTGCCCCATTGGAACTTCTAGGCTGGTATCAGTGAAGATCCTGAGAGCAGATGATGCTTGGGAAGGTTTCTTGCTATTGCATGAATCGTCATGTTGAGAGTTTTTTTTGTGTTTTCGTTCACACTGATTGGTTCGTCCATTCATTCATCCATTTCATAGGCTAATGAAATTATTCACACCCTCATTCGTTCGTGTTGCCCATGAGGTTTTTCGCTTTGCTGGGGTCACTGTTCGGGGGACTCGGTAGTGAGTGGACTGTAGTCCTCGCCTTTAGGGAACGACAGCTCGTGAGGGACCTGTGTCCAGGCAAACTGATGGATGGTCTGTCTAATCTGGGCTTGCACACAGCTGTTCCCAGGTCAGAGCTACCCTGATGGTGTTCATTATACACTTCTGTTCCGCCTCAGAGGAACAGGCTAGGGAAAGTGTCTAATTGAAGTCCTAGAATAGATTCCAGCCCGAATTCTGCCTGTACCCTGGGCAGGTCATTTCTTTTCCCTGCTACGTAGTTTTCCCACTTCAAAAAGTAGTGGCGAAGGGTAAGTGAGGTAAGCTATATATAAAGCAAGTAACCCAGTTTGGGGCCATATGAAATGTCCAATTAGTCTGAGTAAGTTTTATGATTATATTATGAAAAAGGAAAATAGTGGTGCCTGGGTGGCTCAGTCGGTTAAGCCTCCGACTTCGGC